TTCCATATATGAAATTGAAAACAGATAATCTAAATAATATTACTTTGGACATTTGGATTTAATACTGTATACAATCTTATGTTGTATGATTCATTCATTTTATTTATATATGGACATAATTTAACGAAAAAAATAATGTATTATAGTAAACACATTTGCAGATTTCCGTAAAAAAAAATATCATTAACTATATAATTACTTTATTTGAAATATGTTTCTAAATTGTCCTATTTCTTCAAAAAATCTAAACGTTTATGGGAAAAAATCTTTAAAAATAAATAGTAGGTTTTAATATATAATACCAGTAATATTCACACACACACACACACATACATATATATATATATAAATATTTATATTTACTTAAAATATAAACTAAAATCCCGCCTAAAAATTTTAAAAATACTAAACTTGATATTCTTTTTCTTTTTGACAATTTTAAAAAATCCGCCATATATATATATATATAAATATTTGTATTAGATTGAAATAGAAACTAAAATTTTGCCTAACAATTTTAAAATTATTGTACTTGATAAATTTTTTTAAAAAATTCAGAAACTCTCGCCTCTATAAATATATTAATCATTTTGTGGTATAAAGTTGACAAAAATAATAAATCCAATTTTAATATGATATTATAATGTGATCGATTTTATTTTAGGTATTTGATGGTCATGCTTTTAGGAAATTTGTTATAAATAAAAGTCCGATTATATAAAACAAAATGGGCGCTTTTATTTTGGTGTGAAATGTGAGAATCTAAACTTTATGAATTTTATTTTATATGGATAGAAGAGTACTTAGAAATTTTGTAAACAAAATAAGTGATATAAATTTTATTTGGTATGAGTATGAAAATCGAATATTAGGTTGATTTGTTATACAATCAAGGTGATATGGTGTCAAATTTTAGCAATGTTATAATAACTTGCCATAAGATATTAATGATAATTTAACAAATTGGTATGTATTTCTCTTGAAAACATCTTTGAACAAATATTGATTAATAAAATTTAAAATTTGTAATTTAATTCTAGAGAATTAGTTGACAAATTTGAACGATAAGGTAACTGACAGAGACTAGAAAATTGCAAGATAATAATGTGTGTGTGTGTGTATATATATATATATATATAAGAAAATTTATTGTATAGTCCAAATTTGAGTTCATTGCAATTAACAACACCTAGCTGCAATATTCCATATATGAAATTGAAAACAGATAATCTAAATAATATTACTTTGGACATTTGGATTTAATACTGTATACAATCTTA